AGCAAGGTGCCTCCACAGGCATGGTACCTCCGGCTGTTGTGGTATGTGAAGACCTGCAGGCTGACCATCCAGGGCCACGCCCCGTGAGCGGCAGCCTGGCCTCCGACCACACGTGTGGTCGCTTGTAGGGTCTGCCTGAACGGTAGCCCACAGGAGCCACTGAGGAGAGACCACGGGCATAGATGAGACCGAGAGCAGACACAGCCTGTCCTTATGCCTCAACTGAGGGCAGGGATATGGGGTTTAAGAGCAGGAAAGATCACCCGGCCAGCGTGGCTCTGTGGTTGAGCATCGACCTGTGAACCAGGAGGTCACAGTTCGATTCCCGGTCAGGGCACAGGCCCGGGTTGCGGGCTCGATCCCCAGTAGGGGACATGCAGGAGGCAGCCAATCAATAATTCTCTCTCATCATTGGTGTTCCCATCTCTTTCTCCCTCTCCCTCCCTCTTGAAATCAATAAAAATTTTTTTTTGAAAAATAAATCTTAAAAAACGTGGGGAAGATCTGGGAACACGAAGGCAACTTTTGGTGTAGGGCCAAAGGGGGTGTCATGAGGGCCATGTTGTGGGGCTGTGACGAGGCAGGAGCCACAGACTCCAGGAAATGTAGGGAGGGCTGTGATTTCTTGGGTCTTGTGGGTGTAGCCACAGGTGGGGGGAGAGAGTGCCACAGGCAGCTGGGAAGATGGACAGTGAGGGCCATAGAAGTTGGGGGCCAGGGGCTCGGGGAGGCTGGCATGGGAGTGCAGGGTGCCATGGCCTGGGGTCTTCAAAACCCGACTTTGGGGTTCAGGATTAGCTTAGGCAGTGACAGGAGAGGTGAGGACCTTATCTTGTCAGATGGAGGGACCCCTGGTGTAGGGAGGCAGTGGGGGTCAAGAGGTGGGATCGGTGTCACAGGTGAGAGGCCATACTAGTTTGGGACTTATTGGCATGTGGGATATCCTGGAGGCTGTGGGGTCTCAGGGGTGTGAAGGCCCTAGAGCTACAGCAGATTGATGCTTTGGGACTCATCCACAGGCTGGGGCATCTCATGTCTGCGGAATTGGTGAGCATCAGGATGTAGGTGTATGGGTAGATCCCCGTGCTGTGCATGCCCTCAGAGTTGGGGGTCTGTCTTAGGACCCAGGGCAGCTGGGCCCAGGACTCTGGGCTGAGGATGCTGGGAGCAGGGAGTCTGAGTCGAGCTGTGGGTCTCCAGGGGACTGCGAAGGCCCCAGCATGGCCTCCTCTCTGGACAGAGGCCTTCTGAGTCTGCTCTTCAGAAGGCACCCCATCCCCCGCCAAGGTCCCGGACACTTACTCACACGTGTTGTTAACTTTGGCGACTACAGACACTGCCAAGACCAGCAGAACGGCAGTTGGCAGCATCTCCACCATCATCCTGCCCAGCCGCTGGGAGGCCCGCTGACCTCACAAAGCTCTGAGCATCCTGACCAATCAGCAAGGCCAGCTCCCCCACCCCACCCCCAGCAGGCAGGCCTGCAGGAACCCCTTAGCCCAACCAGTTCTCGCTGAAATGACTTCCCCACTCCCGCACAGATTCTCCTGGGTGAGGGAGACTCAAGTGCAGCCCCTCCCTTGTCCCCAAATCTGGCCAGGATCTTCAAGGTTCCACTTCATCTGAGATGACAGAGCCCGCCTTCCTTAACCCGCTGCGGAGTCCACAGGTCTCATATTCTCTACCTGAGTGTATTCTGATCTCCTTTCTGAGACCTGCATGCAGCAAGGTGGTGTCCCCTATAATTGTCAGGAATTCTCATCACAGTTACCTGAATATCACGCAGTACACTTTCTTTTTTTAAATATGTTTTTATTGATTTTAGAGAGAGGAAGGGAGAGGGAAAAAGAGATAGAAACATCAATGATGAGAGAGAATCATCAATTGGCTGCCTCCTGCATGCCCCCCACTGGGGATTGAGCCCGAACATGGGCATGTGCCCTGACCAGCAATCAAACCTCCTGGTTCATAGATCGACCCTCAACCATGGAGCTAGGCCGGTCCTGGAAGTATCCTTTCTTCTGATTGTCAGGAGACAGCATCTCAGCCACCAGGGATACCAATGCTCACCTCACCTCACACACCTGAGTGTTAAAGTGTCACCTGGCCCGGCTGGGAGTTATACCAGGGAATAACTCTCCTCCCTGAATATGAGGTGTCTCTTTCCTTCCATCTCAGGGCCAAAGCCTTCTCTCCACCACCCAGTGTCACTCGTCACATCTCCCTGAGAACAAGTCTCACACACTCGACCTGAACAGCAGAGGTGACCTTCACCGAGATGAGCATTCTGAGGTTTCAGCCGCCGCACACAGGGTCAGGATCCTCACCCCCACCTGGCTGCCAGGAGGTCTCCCCTCCCTCCCTGAGCACAGTCTCCTCTTCCTGCCGGCAGGTTGTGAGCATTTATCTCCTCTTCCTGAGCATCTCGAGGTCTCATCTGCCCTGCCTGAGGGTCGTGGGCAAGGGGTCTTCTATGCCACACCTGAGCGTCCCAACGCTGCCTCTCCTCTACCTGGTGTCTGGGGATCCCATCTCTTCTGTCTCTATCTGCAGGTTTCACCTCCTCTCTCTAAGTGACTAGGGGTCTCACCTGCCCCACTTTATATAAAGATGTCTTGCCTGCCCTAATGGAGCGTCCTAAGGCCTCACCTCCCTTGAGTGTCGGACATGTCCACTCTTCTATTTGTCAGGACATCTCATTTTCTCTAGATGAGCATCCCCAATCCTCTCTCCCGAGGGTCAGAAGGTCTCCTCTCTCCCATTACTGGGCTGGAACATCTGATCTCTGTTTCCCAGAAAGTGACGAGGCTTTGTCCCCCCCCCCCCCTCCGCCACCCCCTCCGCTGCCCCCACAGGTGTGGCGGGATGCGTCACCCAAGTCACTTGAGTTTGGACCTGCATTGTTTCCCTTTCTTTCCATCAAAAGTCTTGTTTTCCAGGATGACAGGTCTCAATAATCATAATCAACTCTTTGTGTCACGACATTTTAGTCTCTGCTGCCTGCATGTCAGGCCATCTCCCTCTCTTTCTGCCTGAGTGTGCAGAGGGCCCGTCACCCTTACATCAGTTTCAGGGCTCTCAGGCATCTCTCTAAGACAGTGACGGCGAACCTTTTGAGCTTGGCGTGTCAGCATTTTGAAAAACCCTAACTTAACTCTGGTGCTGTGTCACATATAGAAATTTTTTGATCTTTGCAACCAGAGTAAAACAAAGACTTATATTTTTGATATTTATTTTATATATTTAAATGCCATTTAACAAAGAAAAATCACCAAAAAAATGAGTTTGCATGTCACCTCTGACACGCGTGTCATAGGTTCGCCATCACTGCTCTAAGAGGATCTCTTACTTCCCAGACCCAAGTGTCACAGGATGTGGGTCTTCCACTGGAGTCTCAGGAGCCACATCTCCACTCGGCAAGAACCCACGGTCTTCTTTCTTTCTTCCTTCCTTCCTTTCTTTTTCTTTCTTTCTTTCTTTCTTTCTTTCTTTCTTTCTTTCTTTCTTTCTTTCTTTCTTTTTCTTTCCCTTTACATCAGGCAGTCTCACCTCCTCTATCTGAAGGTCAGGAGGTTTCACCAACCTGAGTGTTAACAGGTTGCAGTTCATTGAGTGTTAGGAGGCCTCACTTGTTTTAAATCAGTGTCAAGATTGTGCTTAATCAAGTAACCAAAAAAAAAAAAGGTCTTTGGAAATATAGTTATGGAAATGGCAATAAGAATTCACCGAGTGATACTAAAGTTTTGACTGTTTAAGAAAAGCCAATTCAGGTGTTTTTACAGGATTTTGATGGGCATAAAATTGAAATGGTATTTAGATCCATGAGAATAATTTACCAGAATGATGTGCCATTTATTTTAAATGTTGAAATGTACCCTTTTCTGCAAATCACAACTTTACAAGTATTTAAATATATGATCAAAACGTTGGATATAAACTTTGAAATGAAGAGCAGGACCTAATTTTTCAAAACATTGAGGGTTATGTACTAACTGGGTTAGAGGACCCAACGTCTGGATTCCACAGAATAATTGTTTGACTCTACAGAGCGATGCCCACTCCTGGTTCTAGAAGGGGCTGCCAAGCAGCCTACCTCTTGAAAGTCCCCTGGTGCAAACCTTGAGGCTCTGGCTCTTTTCTAAGGCCTCGGGTGGCTTCTGACCTGCAGGGACGTCTGTCCTCTCCCTCAGACCCTTGCGGAGCCAAGGCCATGCCATCTCCGTGGGAGCTGGCTCCACCGCTCCTGCCCTTCCCCCTGCTGCTGTCCCATCCCAGAGAGACCAGCTCCAGGTGCAGCTCAGAGACCTGTCTCCTGGTGCCCAGCACTCGGCCCCAGCAGGGGGCAGGGTCTCCCCTCCACCCCACACTCAGACTTCCTTCATGGCCCCTTCCGTATGATGAGCAGTTTCTAACTTGAAACAAAAAACTTGAAATTGTGGGGCTTTCTAGACAGATGGTGAGCCTCTCGAGGCCAAATTCCCAGCAGTCATGGTCTCTGCCTCACCAGGGCCTTCCTCACCTTCCCCACGAGGCCTTTGCTGGCTCCCAAAGCACCTGTGCCCCTGCACCGCCTCCGGATGGGTACACGGAATCCACCCCTCATGTCTCTGTGGCTTCTCTCCACCACGCACCCTTACTCCCTCTGGGACCAGCACACGACCCTGGAGGCATCTCCCACCGGTTTCACCTGGCTCGGTGAGAACCGGAGTCAAGGCCGACGTTTCTCAGTGTCACGTTCACGCTGCATCTTCACACAGTGTGAAGGTGCTGCACCCACCACCCCTCCTGCAACCCTCTGGTGCCCAACTTCTCTGGCATATCAGCTCTGCAGGCCTGCCCCTCTCAGCCCTGGACCCTGCAGTCTCCACCTCTCACTTCCTGGGAAGTGTCCACCCACTCACCTCTGTTCATTCTCCTTCCACCCATCAGGCTGGCCACGCCCACCAGGTGCCACACCGGACCTGCCACATCATGGGCCGTGGCAGCTGGCTGCTTACCTGTCAGCTCAGGGAGAAGTGAGACTTGGGCATGGGCAGCAGCTGTTGGGGCAGGACGACAGGGACAGACATGGGAGGGCTGACAGGCGGGAGCAGCAGAATGAGAAACTGGGCTCTGGGAGGAAAAGAGGACAGACAGGGCCCCAGAGGACAACCAGACTTCCAGCTGGGGACTGGCCAGTGAGCAGAAAGGAAAGCTTCCAGGAGCACAGGCTGAGGTCCAGTGAGACTCAGAGAGAAGCAAGGAGCCGGTGGCATGGAGGTCAGTATAGAGTCAGGATCAAAGAGGGGGCCTGAGTCATCAGTGCCTGTGGCTAAACGCTCATGCCTAGGCTGGGTGGGGGGGAGGGGACAGCTCTGTGACCTAAGGGACAGCAGGGTCTGTGCTCCCAGTATCTCCTCAAGCAGGCAACTGAGAAACAGTTTCATTTCTTATAAATTTATTACATAATATTATAATAATTATTATCAATAATAATAATAATATAAGAAACATAGATCTCTGTGGGGTGTATCACAACATCAGGGTCAGGAGGCCTCAGGACTGGAGCAGGGGGAAAGCCCCTGGATGGAACTCCATACAAAAGGAGGGTGAAGCGGTACTGACCCTGTAAAGTTAAAAACCCAAATTGAACGGAACCAAAAACCCACAGGTGAGTGTGAGACCGAGTGTGTATGTGGCAGCCTGTTACAGTCGCGGCTGCTGTGTGATCTGGTCTGTTAGTGGAGGTGGCTGGGTGTGACTCTGCCCAGGGAATGAGGCCGCTGGGTGGGATGGGGTGGGCGGGCACAGACCGGCGTGCCAGGCCCCTGGGCTGTGAAAACGTCTGTTTTCTGGGTTTTTTATTTTTATTAAAAAAAGCTAGAAATATAAACAGAAACTTGTGAGTGACGTGGATGGAGCTTAGTCCAGACGCCAAACCCTAGGTTTAAAAACGTCCCAGGGCCCCCCCACCCCACAGGTCATTGCTGAGTGTGGGGAGTCACAGTAAGGGGGGCTGGGATGCCCTCGGGGGTCTCTGCTTTGCCCCAGGGTTTACGGTGGCCTGACTCTAGGGTTCTCCCTAGGATCCCCCAGAAGCCTGGTGGGGGGGGGGCAGACACTGCCTCCAAGGGCCCTGGGGGGACACCCCCAGCAGCAGAGCTGGCTGGTAGCCTGCTCGGGCCAGGCAGGACTCTGGAGGGGCAGGCGGGACAAATGCAAGTCCCAGGGGACAAAGGGGCCTCTGACTTTCTTTGGAAGCAGATGGGGTGCTTTCAGGCATGCACCCTGCACATGCTCCCGAAACCCTGGCACTGGTTCAGGGCCCCCCGCGGCCTGCTCCCTCCTCAGGCACACACGGGGCTCCGAGGCACTCAGTCGCACCCAGAGTTTCACACAGTCACACGCTTGCACACACACAGGCGGGACAGGAGACTTTGGGGTCTGAGGCAGAGGCTTCTTTGCTGTAGTTGCCCAAAAATGTGGGGAGGAGGCGAGACCCCTCCTGGGGAGGAACCCCGTGAGGGGAATGGCTGGGAGCAGGTGCCAGGGCCCGTCCCCACCCCTGGCGAGGGTCTCCCAGGCCCCCAGGCCCTGCTAGTGCCCTGCAGGCCTGGCTGCCCGCTGCCCCTCCTCCACGCAGCACCGGAAGGGTCGTGGGGCACACTAGAGCTCAGCGAGGGGAGAAAGCCCAGGCAGGGCCCCAGGGCGGCTACTAGGACCCTGGCCAACCCCAGACCAGCTGGAGCATCCTCCGCCCACGTGGGGTGGCAGTGGCAGTGAGGGGCCAGAGATGGAAGACTGGGCAGCCACAGCGGAACCAGTAGGAGGCTGGGGGGCGGGAAGGGAAGCTATTAAGGACAGAGATATTTGTTCCTTTTCTCGTTCCAAATATAGAGTGGATTAAAATATGCAAAACAGGGGGGCTCCTAGGCCCCCAACCGAGAACCCCAATGTCTCCCCCCTCCCCCCCGAGTCACCAAGGTGTGTCCTGACCCCTCGCATGCTGGACTAGGTCCTCCCTCTGGGAGCAGCCTCCGGAAGCTGTGTGGGAGCCGGTCAGGCTGGAGACTCCTCCCCAACCCCTCCGGCTCCGCCCTTTCACCCGCATTTCTGACCGTGTGCTGGGGTGGGGCTCACCGGCCGTGGGAGGGCGCTAAGCAATGTACAGGGCAAGTCTCCGAGCCACGGCA